GCCTCAGCCTTCCCAGTAGCCGGAACTACAGGCGCGCACTACCACACCCGGCTGATTTTTTGATTTATTGTAGAGATGAGGTCTCACCTGCCCAGGCGGGTCTTGAACCCGCCCACTCAGGCAATCCACTCATCTCAGCCTCCCAAAGACGCGGGGTTATAGGCTGAGCCACCGAGCCCTGGTCTTCAGTTTCTTTCAGCATTGTTTGATAGTTTTTAGTGTACAAACCTTTCACCTCCTTGGTTAGGTTTATTCTCAAGTGTTTTGTTTTTTTGTATGTTGTTGTAAATAGAATTGCTTTCTTAGTTTCCTTTTTGGATTGTTTGTTATTAGTGTATAGAGAAAAAAACCCTAATAATTTTATTTTTATTTTATATCCTGCAATTTTGCTGAATTTATTAGTTCTAACTTTTTGTGTGTGTGTAGTCTTGGTTTTTCTACATATAATATTGTGTCATCCGTGAACTAAGATAATTTTACTTATTCCTTTATAATGTGGGTGTCTTTCTTTCTCTTGCTCTGGTTAGGAACTGCCTTGTTCTTGATCTTAGAGGTTGAAAAACTTTAACACAGTTTTATTGTTTTTTTGTGGCTTTGCCATTTGAAGTCTATGCACCAACATTATAATAATGCAGGTTACTCTATTTGTCCACGTACTTACCTTTGCTGGAGAACTTTTTATTTTCTTACAGTTTTGTGTTGCTGTCTTGTGTCCTTGCATTTCAACCTCAAGGACTTCTTTTAGGGTTTCTTGTAGAACAGTTCTAAGTAATGAACGTTTTCAGCTTTTGTTCCTCTGGCAGCCTTAATTTCTCCATTTCTAAGCAACAGTTTTGCTGGATTCAGAGTTTTTTTCTTTCAGCACTTTGAGTATGTCATCTCATTCCCCTGTGGCCGGCAAGGTTTCTGCTGAGAAGACTGCTGGCAATCTCCGGGCGCCTCTGGCGATTTGCTTTGCTCTTGTTGCTTTCATGATTCTCCTTTCACTTCTGATCGTAATGGGTCTCTTTGAGTTGTTCCTAGTTGTTCCTAGTGGGAGTACATTGAACTTCTTGAATTTGTGTGTCCATTTCCTTCCTCATCTTTGGGGACTTTCTAGCCCTTTTTTCTTCAAATAAGCTCTCGCTCCTTTGTCTCTCGTCTCCTCATGGAACGCCCATGCCTCACTGCAGCCTTGTCCTCCTGTGCTCAGACAATTCTCCCGCCTCAGCCTCCTGAGTAGCTGGGACTATAGTCATGTGCCATCACGCCTGGCTAATTTTTTTATTTTTTTGTGGCGGTCTAGCTACGTTGCCCAGGTCTTGAACTCCTGGACTCAAGCAATCCTCCTCTCCTGCCTTGGTCTCCCAAAGTGCTGGGATTACAGGTGTGAGCCACCATGCCTGGCCAACATAGAGTGTTTTCATTGCTGTATAATTCTCGATTGCATGAGTACAGAGCAGTTTATTTTCCTTTATCATAATAGACAGATATTTGGGGTTTTTGTAGCTTTTGGCTGTTTTCAGTAGAGCTGCTGTTAGCATTCTTGTACATGTTTTTTGCTGCACATGCGTACTCATTTTTGTTAGGAATTACTGGTTGGAAGATGCATGTTGAGTTTTAGATGATTCTTCCAGGTTTTCTATATGGCTGTACTAATCCACACTCCCACATGGCATTGTGTAAGTTCCGTTTGTTCTGTATCCTTGACAGCACGCGTGATATTGCCAGTCTTTTTTCTTTCTTTCAAAACTCATTTCTTTTTCACCTAATCCAGTGTAGGTATGAA